GAATTTAGTATTACAATCCAATAATGAAATTTCATACTTCATCGATACCATTATCATGATCAAATCAAACCCAAACAACTCTGATACCAGTTTAATAATAATGTAAGCACGATAATAGTGAATGTAAATCAATTACAAAAATAAAAAAGACCAAGATTTACATGAAAAAATCCTTTCGGGAAAACCACATATAGAAGAAGATTATTTTCTCTAATGTCGAAAATAGGAAAATACAAGGGGATTTACAGAAACAACTTGAATTTTAACTCTAATCCCTAATATCTATTTATAAGGATGGTTACTTGATTATAAAATAAACTTATATAGTAGAAATCTACTTAATGTAAGTTTTCTACTATTAATCAACTTAATAGGCTTTCTACTTTCAATTAAACTAAATTTTTGACTTTTCTTGATTATCTCTTGATTTTATATCTTCATTCATTTGTATCACATTAAATTTAGATCAAACTCTAATGCATACAGACATTTTTAGAAGTATATTTGATATGTACATGTTGCATAAATGAAAGAGAATAACTTCGCATACTAAATTCTTCTCCATGAATGAATTCAATGTTTCGATTATGATTACATGTCACATTTTTAGAACGAAATATGTTCATATAGATCGTAAGAAGTCTCGATATGATTCTGGTATATTTCAGGGCTTTCAAAATTCATAAAATTGTTTAAATATATATTTTTTGTTGTAAGGTATCATTATCTAAACATTGAAGCTAAAAACGATATTATATCTCGTTGAAGTATTAATACCAAGTCAAGTGTATCGATACCCCTATACAAGGTATTGATACCTTAGGCCTAAAATATCAAAATTAACTATTTGATGTTGTTGCTTGGTTTATTTTCTTCCTTGACCACTACAGTTTTAGATTGTGTGCAAAATGGTCCCTAAATGCTAGTTGTGTTTGATAATTGTAAAATTGAAAACCAATTAGTTTCATTTTAGTTCCGTTATCCGATGATGACATCTCCTACAGGATCAGACGTCTGATTCACACAAGGGTGTTACATGAAGGCCTAAGGTTAAGAAATCCCATATAGTGTCAAGTTAGGAAATTAGGTGAAACAATCAACCACTAGTATATACTTGTTAAAAGAACATCAGTAGTTGAGAGTTTGAAATAGATTTGCAAGTAATTCTTTGTGGTTGACTAGGTTTAACATGTGTATAAATAATTTCGATTAAGTTGGTATTTCACTCGTTTAATAAATTGAGTATTCGCTTTCAGAATATTCAATCTATCCTTGTAATATTTCGTATAAAGTATTTTCTTGTACTAACCGAATAGAAGGGTTTGGTGGGATATATATGGGAAGGAGAGGAGTAAAAATGTCACATCTTGAAGAGGTATTTGTGCCATATGACACAAATCATAATTAGATCAAAAACCTCGCCATGGCATGGCATTTGCGCCGCGTGTTACATCGACATGGTCATGGGCTGTCACTTGTGTGACATGCGCATTCCTGAACTCTTTCTCGCCACCTCTTTCTCTGCTCTGCCCCCACCACTCCAAAATGGCACATGAACCTCACTTCCCTCTTGTCCTTTTTCTGCATTTGTTTTTCATTTTTCCCCGTTGCTATTGTTGTTTATAAAGAGGGATACCTCCAAGTCTGTGCATGCACCCAGTTCGATTCCCCAAACTCTCACATTCATTTCTGGCAATAAAAATAAGGCTCATTTGTGCACTCACCATTTCTAATGAAGTTTGCTGTATTTGTTGTGGTTTTCCCTTTGGTTGCTGCGCTTGCTAGCAACTTTTCCCAAGAATATGACATCACGTGGGGAAGTGACCGAGTTAGGGTAATGAACAATGGTGAGCTGCTCAGTATCTCACTGGACAAAGACTCCGGGGTCAGGTTTCCAGTCCAAGAATGAGTATCTATTTGGTAAGATTTCAGTGCAGCTTAAACTCGTTCCAGGCAACTCGGCTGGCACTGTAACATCCTATTATGTAAGCTCTAAACTTGTGACATGGGATCATGTGCTGCTCTAACCTTGTTTTTGGTTGCAGTTGGCCTCACAAGGATTAACATGGGACGAAATTGACTTTGAGTTCTTAGGGAATTTGAGTGGTGATCCGTACACGGTTCACACAAATGTGATTACTGCAGGCAAAGGAGGAAGAGAGCAACAATTCCATCTCTGGTTTGACCCAACAGCAGATTTCTACACCTATTCCATCCTCTGGAATCCCCAAGTCATCATGTAAAACCTCAAAAATACTTCTAACGTTCGATTAAATAGTCATTTTGATCCTCTTCTTTTTTATTAAAGCATTTTGACCCATAACATTTGACTAAATAGTCTATTTAATCATTTGTTTTTAGCATTTTGACTCTAACGTTTCATTTTAGGGTAAAATACTTCTATTTTAGAGTGTTAATTGTTTGTTTGTTGACAATCAATTTCATCTATAAAGCGGCTTTTTTATCACAAAATAAAACGTTGGGGTCAAAATGCTAAAAAATAGAGGCTAAAATGTATATTTAAACAAACATTAGGAGATTTTATGTTATTATGACATTTTTTTACACAAAAGCAGCTGAAACTCATAGTCCTTTTTTTCTTTAAACCCTTTCAGTTTCTATGTTGATGGGAAGCCTATCAGACAATTCAAGAACTTGGGGTCTAGTAAAGTTCCATACCCCAAGAGGCAGGCAATGAGGGTTCATTCGAGTATTTGGAATGCGGATAGCTGGGCAACAAGAGGTGGTCTAGTCAAAACAGATTGGAGCAAAGCCCCTTTCACAGCTTCCTATAGGAACATGAGTGCACAAGCATGCATTTGGAGTTATGGCTCTGGGGCCGCTTATCCCTGCAGTTCCAGTTCATGGCTAGCCAAAGAGCTGGATGCACCCAGCCTGCAAAGATTGATGTGGGTGCAGCAGCATTACATGATTTACAACTACTGCATGGACCCTAACCGATTCCCTCAAGGACTTCCTCTCGAATGTATTGCAGCAACTTAGACAAAAAATGCTATACTTTTAAACCCTTAACAGTGGTCTAGTGACAGAAATTCACCTTTGTCTAGGATTCAATGCCTAATATAATAAGAAAAAAAATGATACACTCACTCTATTCATTTTCTTTGCCAACGAGCACACAATCTATATCACATATATTTTACCAAAAATGTTAGAAGATATATAGGAGTAAGTATAATGATCGTAAAATTTTCTTTGACATGGTCGTTGTAGTATAGTGGTGAGAATTCCCGCCTGTGACGTGGGTGACCCGGGTTTGATAATGGCGTTTTTAAAAATTTTCCCATCCCTTCTTTCTTTATACGGAAAGAAGCTGTAAAAATTAACTAAAAGGCTTAATGGTAAAAAAAACTGTAACACCCTAATAACTTGAACCCGAATTTTTTTTTAGTGTGGTAATCGAAAAATTATTTTAAGGTTTATAATATTAAGTATAAATATTGAGAAATATGTTAGATTCGATCAAATTCATTAGATAAACTTAACTAATGATTCAATTCAGAACCAGATCAAAAAGCAATAAATTAAGTCTGGAAGCTTGCCAGATTTTCTCCTCTTCATGGAAGGACTTCCATCTCAAGTTGCTGATGGAGCCGGATAGTCTTTTAGCTGTAAGCTGGATCAATAACCCAAGATTATCCTCACTTCCCTTTGCTGAAATGATCACTAAGTGTAATACTTTGTGTGCACGCTACTCCTGGATTGTAAGTTTTGTGCATAGAGAGAGGAATGTCGACGCTCACGTCTTAGCCCAAAATGGGATAAGGAGAGGTATACCATTAGTGTGGTTGATAGTGAATGGGTAGAGGACGAGCTTCAAGATCGGCTTGAACGGTTCCTGCACCAGGCTATGCAGGTATTCTGCTTGCTATTCTATGATCTGTGTTTGTGTCTTATGCTGTTTGTTTTGGTTTAAAGTATCTGTGTTGTGTTGTCACGATGTTCGTGCAGGAGGTTTTTGTCACCGATGTAATCTGCATTTTTGGCACAGTACGTTGCATTCTTTTTCCTCTTTTTAGGTGCAGTGAGGTTTTTTAACGATACATATACCTTTGCTAAAGTCTAGTTCCCCCCGATAATAATATTACATTCCCTATTCAAAAAAAAAATTATAAATCGAAAGTTTAAGTACCCAATTCAAAAGATGGTAGGAATGAGATTGCACATGACATAAAACCTAATTACCAATTAGATGAGATTTTGAGACTTATGTGTCAACTTATTATGCTGTGGAAATTAGTAATTGAGGATAAGTGTCAAATCCAAACCTCATGAAATATAGATGGCAGGATTTTCAATTAGAAGGAGAAAAAGCCATTTCCTCTTTACCCCTCCAAAATTTCGTCAATTGCCATGAATTAGGGTTTGAATGAAAGAGAGAGAATGCTCAGGTTTATCAATCATGGACCGATATTATTAGAAGAGATAACCTCATCAAACTCACAACATAAACCGGACATTATTGTGAGAAACAATTATGGACCCTAAATATGGATCATGAAATTAACAAACAAAATGTTTATATAGAAGAAAAAAAAGGTCGAATATCAAAAACTACACACGAACGTTATTAAAATGTGAATATTATGCATAAACTTGGATTTTGTGCAATTGTGTTCATGATTTTTTTTATTCAATTTTCACAAATCTCTAATATTGCTATCGACGCAATCATTTTATGTTCACACATTGAATGCACAAATGATTATAGTTATTCAACATGAAAATGAAAGTGTTTATTTACATTTTTAAATGTGTGCAACTGAATCAAAATAAAATTTGGGTATACTACGCCAGAAGTACCTAGACTACGATCAAATGGTCACTTTGATCACTAAACTTTCAAAAATTTAAAATTAATCATTAAATTTATTAAAAAGATACAAAATTATAATTAAATTTTATAAAATGTTGCAAAATAGTTGAAGTAAAGATACGGTAACCAAAGATTGTCAAGAAAAACTTGGAGAGAAGAAACATATCTGGAATCCCTTTTATAGGGGATAAGGTATCATATTAAACTTGAAAGGCGACACTCGGTGCAACATGAAAGATCAGTAAACCAAGTTAAAAGCAAATCTTAAACCCCTCACCTCCACCTAAAAACTCAAGTATCAATTATACACATGCATGCCAATGGTAAAATAATATTACAAGGGAAGTCAAAGAAACAGATTACTACAGTACAAGACACTGTACAATCAGGGATTCCAAATTGTCCAATTGGAAGGGTCTTCAACCAATAAATTTCACGCTTTCAGTACCTGTAATCCCCCCGGCGGCCAATGTACCTGACCGAACAGTTCCGATTAACTTCAAAAACCATAGAAATGAGACTTCGATTGCACTATTCTTCTTCCAACTCTACTATCTGTGCCCGTCTCTCAGCGGCTTTTTTCCTGATAAAGAACCCCCATCTCATTGCTGCTTTAATCTTCAGCCACCCAGCAACAGCTTTGGCAGGACGTGAACGGTACTCATCTCCAAAGTGTGGCATTGGGGACGGCATGTAATTTGGGAATCCATACCCACCATCATCCGTCATATTAATAGAAGCTTGACCTCCCATGCTGAAGAGGCGGAGAAGGTGCTGCATATCTTCGTTCTCAAGCATTTCATGACTTCTTAGGCGAATTTCTTCTTCTGAAAATAAGTCCCCAACTGCCTTGTCTCTGCTGTTCGTCCAATCATCGAAAGAACTCAGATTTGATGGCTGCATTGAAGAATCAACATTTTGGAAACCTAAGGCAGATGATTGTGGGGGAGCCAGACCCAGTCCAACATCGTCATCATATATTGAGCTTTGTGGTTGCTGAGAATTGTTAATCAGGTCATCTGGCACAAATTGCATACTCTCAAATTGATTACCAGAATTTGAATTCACAGCCTGGGACTGCCCTGAGTATCTGGGAGACCTATTATCATTGTAAGCTGCAGTAACCAAAATAAAAGAAATGAAATTACCCGACTTCCAGCAAATTGGATCATTAAAAAAAATGAAAAATGGTGGTTCCAAACCTAAAAGATATATCAAGATATTAAGACCTCAAACAAGAATCCAAGCTCTAACAACAGACAATAACCTTAAAAGGGAAAATATCAACCAAATCTTTTAAAAGAGAAGTATTTGTTTAACTATGAAATAATAAGATTTTCATCTAAAATCACAGCAACTAGGCTGTAATTCGCAATAAAAATCTCGATGTAGATGCCTGAGAGGATATTGCTGATATTTCCCTACAAGCATTTTTTTCTAGGCAACTTGATAGAAAAGGAATTATATCAGAAAGAATGATATATAGTTGCAACTTGATAGAAAAGGAATTATATCAGAAAGAATGATATATAGTTCCCTCTAAACAAATTTATCAGATACAGATAAAGAGAAACCAAACAAAAGTGTACTCCATTATCTAATGCTTGAACTTAACTTTCACCCAAATATCTATATTTTTTTCATAACTAATCCACAAACATAAAAACTCCCAATATGAAGAACGTGGCTGCGGATTTGTTTTACATTTTCTTTTTAATCTGAAATGTTACATGAAAGTAGCTATGAAGCTTGAAAACTTTTAACACCTTAAGGCCCGAAACCCATGCTAAAACATTGATAGCACTCACACCTATCTAGAGATCTTGCTGACAAGGAGGTTATGCCATACCATGATAGACAAGTCCAACCAGTTTTATTGAACAGACAGACAAATCAAGATTTCTCCAAGATTGTGTTGAATAACTTCTTACAAGTCCAAATCAGACAAAATTTTATAAAAAAACGACGCAGAAAAAGGAAATTTTACTACGGTGATGCTAGATGAAACAGTTCCATAAATTATTTTTGGAATTTGATTATCTTTGGTTGTACCATCTTTGTATCTATTTAGCTTACTTGAAAGCAAGCTTCCAGCCTTCGGAAAGATACTTTAACCATAACATTGCTTCGTATACCAAGGAACAGGGAAAACAAGCAGGCAGGAAGAAAAATGATGTTTATATTCACAACTCCAAAAAGATTAAGTTGAGCTATCCATAGCTTAAATGAAAATTCATTTCAAACTAAAAGTTTATAGTAGCCACTAGCCAGAGTGCTTACCTCCAACTTGCGGGCTTGGATGCACTTGCTCAATAGGAACTGGAACTGGCAACTGTGGCAACTGCAGCTGATGAACAGCATTTGGGTCATCTGCTGCACCCATCTGAAGTTGATTCCGGGAGCTTGACCTCCTATTTTGCTTGAAGTTCATCAGTGATTTTCCATCATACTCTAAGACTTCATTCCAATTGTCATAAGCTTTCTTCACCAATGTATCTACATAGAGCTGCAGAAATGTAGTTTCCCTTGTTAATTTAATGAATATATTTTATAAAATTAGAGAATAAGAGTATCAAGAGCTTAAGCAGTTGAAAACAAGCCACGGAACAATTCATGGTCAATCAAAAAACAAAACAAGTACAATTATATTTAGGAAGAAAATCAATGCAACATCATGGTAATAGATAAATTTAAAATTAACATTCAGCAAGTTCCCGATAACTCTTTTATCACTTGTAAATTAAAAGAATCTCTTTAGTTCATTCTAAACCATATATTATAGAATTCATGAAACAAGCACTGCAATTAAAACACTGTTGGTTCACCCCTGAAACAAATCAAATGACACTCCCAAGCTTTTTGGATAACATGGCTATAGACCATTACCAGAAAATAAAATGTCAATATCCAGGACAATATATCAGGAACAAAGGGGGAAATCTCACATTAACCTTCTCATGCTCAGAGATAGAGGGAAGTAGCATAAATTTCAAGCGCCCAAAGAGTTAGAAACAGTATGCAACCATCAAATTTTCATATGATAGAATGGTGTACCATACTACACCAAAAAGACTATCCCCATTCCTTAAAGCCATCAACATTTTTTTCAACCGAAACGTCACAAATAATATTGATAACACACAAAACTAAAGCCAATATAGCTGATTTTTAGTTTCTTTTTTATTTGAAAAATATCTGTAGAACATTAACAGAGAAGATATTTGACATTAATCCATTGGTTAACACATGATGCAGTTGACTAGAAATACAATAACCAAACAAAAGCCCTTTCTGCAAGATTTGTCACTATTATTAGATTAATGAACATCTAACCCAGACATGCAAACTCCCACAGATGCAAGTTAATACCATAGCAACTCAGCCTATCAAGCCATGAAAGTATCCACATGCCCCACAGCTTCCCTACATCTTTCATGCTTTTTGGTTCATTAAGTTATAAGCCTAGAGCACCCAACCTTCCGTCCATCCAGCCAAATACCCTCTACTCATTTGGAAGCAAGTCTAATTGGTAAAGTGGGTAAACATAGGATACATTACATCAAAACAAGTTGCATTATACAACCATAAAAGCAAAAAGAGCATTCTTTTAGCATATAAAACAAAGTTATACCATGATCAAAAATTAACTTATATAATTCAGATAAATTTCGATAAAATACAAGAAATACTTAAATATATATATATACACTTTATAAGGCTCAGAAAACATTGCTGCTAACACATCCCACATGCTAGCCTCTGAAGCAAAGGAGATGTAGCATTTCGTTAGAAACTGAAAAATAATATAAATCTTACCCACCTTCTGACTTTCAGATAGAGAATCAGCTGATAAATACTGTTCTCCAGAAATAAGACCATTCAACTCGTAGATGTTATTAAACACAACACCAACATTTCTTGAATCATCATTATAATAAACATAAAGCTTCCCACTCAGCACACAAGTCTTTGCATGATCGAGGAGAGCTTCCCACATCTTGTTTGACATGCCACTTCCGAGAATCTACAAACACAAATAGTAATATCAGCAAGAAACTACAAAACAATAGTATTTTGAATTTTATCGACAGAGGATCAAGGACTGTTTGATTATAGAGAGCGATAGTAAGGTGGCTGTGGATTGGATTAAGGGGGATGAATTATGTCCTGTTGTATATGCCTTCTTGATTAAAGATATTGTTCATAGGCTTAATGCCTTTGAAGGTGTTGTTATATGGGTTAATAGGACAGCCAATTTAGAGGCTGATGCCTTAGCTAAAGAAGGCATAGGCTGAGTTAGTAAAGTTGTTGATGGCTGTTTAGGGTTTTTCTTGATTTTCTGTGTTTTGTAAGGGGATTACTATTGTTGTTTTCGTTGTAATTTATTATGATGAATAATATATAGGCACTCTTTTCCCCCTTCCGTTGATTAAGGAGCTTCCCTACAAGATCCATTAATCAAGAAGGGGGTTTTTAACGAGGCCTAGCATTCTTATAAAAAAAATAGTATTTTGATTTCAGAAACAAAATTCAAACTCACATTTCGCAACTTTTTTTGATCCTTGACCACAAGCCGCAAAAAATTTTCAACTGTGAATATTCCCGCTCCATTAAGCCTCTTGTGGAATGACCCATCTTTCCCAATCTTTTCCAATCTCCATACTTCATCATTCAATGCAGGTGGGTAGTGCTTCTTATACACTGTCAAACAAATCAATTAAAAAATTTCCAAGAAACCAACCAATGAAAATAGATAATAGTAAAAAAGTATGAACTCACGTTCGCCTCTGTGATCCTTGACAGTAAAAGCCTCTGTCTTTGCTTCCCGTATGTGTATACCCTCACAACATCCGGAAGCAACCTTCAACCCAAGCCTAAATTTCCTGCTTCTTATCCAACTTGAATTGTCAGTAAAAGTGAGATCACCTAGTGTCCCTACCCCCTCTTTGAGGGTCACTTGCAAGTCACCCGTCAACAGTGGTCTTTTTCCTTCACGCTCTTTTACCACGCGGCTCTCAAATTCTTCTTGAGTCCAATCTTCATCATCCTCATTGTTGAAATCACCTCCAAGTACAACCACATCTAGCTTTACAGAGGCTTCGGGTCCAGTTGTTACAACACGTCCATTGCTAGAGTCAACTAAAACAATATGGATGGCAGCACCCTGCTCCCCTTCCACCCCTCCTCCCGTGAAAAGTGGAAGAGACAATCTGGACCTGAAGCGGAGCTGTAAGGTCCGTCCATCTGGACCTTCAAGTTGTTTTGGAGAAGACCTGAAAGCCAAAAATTTTATAGCATTCTTTATATACATCACAAAAGATGCGGGATATGACATTGGGAACTAGAAAAGTAATGAGTCGCGACGAGAATATAAAGCTTAATGCTGAAGAAAGAGGGGGGATCGTAAAAAATAACATAAAAAAATAAACTAAACCTAATTCCACCAAGGTTCCTGTAAAATTGTCAAGTTTATTTCAAGAAAGTAGAATACCAATCAACCAACCAAAAACTAACAAAAGTTACCATAAAACCAAGCTTATTGTATGTTTTCATGAGAATCATATCCATGCATTAATAAGGCCCGAGTTCATCCAAAAGCAAGAAATTAATTAAATAATCTAATTAAAAAAAGGGAAAAGAAAAGAAATAAAACAGAGAACATTTAAAAATTCCTTCAGAATTTCATAGCAGCCCTTTAATTCTCATGCACAATGCTCTTAAAATAGCTACTAACTGAGTCTAAAACAAAAAAAATAGAATTAATGGACACCCTTGTCACCACTCAGTTGATAAATATTCAGCAAAATACCTATGAACCTCAAAGTTAATGCCAAAAATATCCATAGTAACAAAAAAGGTAAAAGAAAATTGTCTAGTAAAAACCTGTGATTATTCTCACACCATCATGCATAATTCTACAAACATTCTGGAGATTCTGACATTCTTTATTCCATTTTCTCCTTTGGTTTTTTCTCACATTCTTTACTCCGATTATCACTAACATAACAACCCCTACCCACATCATTCTTATACTTGACAAGGATCTTTATTTTTTAGGCATTATAAATAACCAAATTGCCTTTGCAGCCATAAATGAACAAACATTAATACTTTACCTCTCATTAATTATAGGAGGGCCTAATTTTGCCAAGGCTCTTTCAACCTCTTCACTTACCTGCAAAACATCAATGCAGATATAAGGAAACAACCAAGGGAAGGAACGTAATCCAAAGAAGGAAGGATGCTACAACTCAATCTCACATAAAGAGGTGTTAATCTTGGTTTATAACTGAAAATATATGCAAGAATAATGCAATTTATGACAGCAGCAACAGATGGCCAGTCATACCAAAATCTCAATGAATGGCCCATCTTCAAAACTAACAAGACAACAATAAGGAGAGAGTTGGCTTAGTCCTAAAGTACAACAAGAGGAAAGCCTTATATAGAATTTAGGTTTTGGAAGAAAATATGCAAACAAATTAAACAAGAGAATCAGCATTTTCAGTCACTGAAATATAAAGGATTCACTTAAGTCCACAAGAAACTGAGACCTTGAAGAATGGCTATCCAGAAGGAGGCCACGGGTCCAGGTCCACCTATTATGATGGAGCTAAGGGCTATCCAGAAGGGCTTAATTTTCTTTGATTCAATGAAAGGAGGTATTAATGGTCGTTTGTTGTTAGAATCAGACTGCAAATTGGCAGTGGATTGGGTCAAGAATGGAACTTTCTGCCCTCAGATTTTTGTCATTCTTGTCAGGAACATAACAATTAAGCTAAAAGAAGTTGAGGGTGTTATTAGATGGGTTGCTCGGACAGCCAATATTGAGGCTGATGGGTTGGCTAAATCCGCCATTAGCTAATTCCAGTGTGTCTTAGGGTTATTTTATGTTGGGATTTTCAAATTGTTGTAAGGGGCTTATCTTCTTGTTGTAATCTTATGTATTTTCATTAATGAAGTTTAAGGCACTCTTTTCCTCCTTCCTCTGAAGAAGGAACTCATTATAAGTTCCTTATTCAAGAAGGGGGTTTTTAACGAGGCCTATAATTCCTATCAAAAAAAAAAGAATGGCTATACGAATATATTGTAAAGGAATGTGTGAGCAACCAGTGTACAAAAATGGCAGTTGTGCACTAAACAACAATAGATGAATGTCTATGTGCATCTGACACCAACTCAGGGGTAAAACTCTAATCAGCAGAACAATACTACTAAAGAACATCATCATACAATTTAAAGCAGTGTCTTTAATCTTAGATGTAAGAAATGTGCTAACCAACATTATATCAAGAGAAAGGAAAAACAGCAGGTTGGTCAAGCATAAAATGATTTTTTACTCAAATCCTTCTCAACGGGAAAAATGATTGCACATAAAGAAAACTATCAGGAAATAGGTCTTACAACTCTACGAAGAATGGGTTCCAATGATGAGCAGAGCTTCTGCAGGCTGTCCACCTTCAGAGCTTCTACAATTACACTGCATGAAATATAAAGTAATCTCTGAGAAAACCACTTGGTCCCTTAAAGAGAAATAAGACTCATCATTTGTTAAGCCTGTTAATGTGATTTAATATTCCCAATGTATAAGACAATCAAATGACAATGTTTCAGTTAATAGTTCGTTAGAAAATATTTTTATTTCGTTTATCCTATTTCCCTGATTGGTTAACGGTTCTACTACTTTTCTTTCATTCTAGAGACTTGCAGCAACATTTTCTTCATATTTAAACTAGCAGAAAGATCATAAGCAACTAAATGAGAAGTGTTATTATAAACAACGTAACAGTTCTACGGAAAAGCAAAGCTAAACATTTTGTTGGCAACAATTTTTAATTTATCAAAAATATTATTTTTCTTTCATATCCAAGTGCAATTTTTTTTTTGCTTTTGCTTTTTGTTTAAGAATTAGACATAAGCAACTAAGATACACAACTAACCAAAACACACTAAATCAAAACAAGCAAAAAAATCATTGTTTACACGATACAAAGAAAAGGATAAACTACAAGAAAAATACCTAGCTAAAGCGGGGCGTTTCTTCTCTGGCTGCTGGTCTTCGTCTCCTTCCAAACTCCTCTTTCCTCTGGCCATACTATTTGTCCTCTCCATATACCTAGTTTGCCTCTGCATTCTCGCAGTACCAAATTTAAAACCCTAATTTCCCCAGATCTGCACGGAGGCAACAAAACCCCTAAAAGATTACTATTCAAATAGAAGACGTCAAATTCACTCTACTCGGAACCCTAATCTACCATTCAGACACCAAAAACAAACTAAAGAAAAATCAGCAAAATTTGGAACAAACAAACAAACAATAAACATAAAATAAGAAGAAATGGTGAGAAAATGAAAGTGAAATACCTGAGGAAAATGATAAATTTGAGAAGCGTTTTAAGGGAGGTGTTTGGGGGGAAAGAAAATCGAAGAAAATGATTTGAAGCAATGATTGCATTGTTTTATATAATCTTTTCGTCTCACGGTCTACTCAGGCGACTCTGCTTAGCCCCTAAAGAGTTTAGAGGAATTATCTCGTACGGCATGATTCACTGTATGGCGTTTATTCTTTTAGCTTTTTCGGCCTTTTGTTATACGAATAGGGTTAGGTGAATGAGATTATGACTTTAAGTGGACTTTGTGGTGGATTTGGGGGATCTTAAAAGCGATTACGAGAACACTGCTGCACTGGATACTTATTACTACATTGGATTATTGTTATTATGGTTATATATCTATGTTTTTCTTCTTATGCAAATGCAGCTTGTTCATTAAAAAAATATATTCAATTTTATAAATATTAAGCACATTTGTCTGATTGATTAATTTTAGGTATGACTCATAAATATATTGATAAAGCTTTCGCGGTATGGTATATAGTTAATTTTGTAAATATGTATCAGGATTTATTTATTATAAAATGATATGTAACCAAAACATATGGGACATTGAATAAAAATTCTAGCGCCACCTAAGACATCGATGACGTAAGTACATTGCTGAACCTCGTTAAAATTCTTGTGTTCTTTCCGTTTTCTTTACCCGATTATTCAACAATTAATTTATTCATCTTTATTTTTTCAAATCCGTTATAAGTTCTAAATTCGTCACGAGTACTCTCTTCCTTTCTCTTACAGTGCTTTATTTTCCTCTCCTTTAAATATGATTAAAATCATATTTAAAATTTGTCAACAAAATCAAAATTATAATTAATGTTTATCATAGTAAACTAAACATATAACTAAAATATTTTTTATAAACATTAACACAAAATTTGTCACTTTATATCACATAAATATTATATAAGAAAAAGATTAATAACTCGTCCAAAAACTCAAACAAAAGGTACGTTGCATCATAAGTTATTTCTGTACCTAACATTATACCTACTGGGTATACGAGGGCCTATGGACTAAAATATATGTTAAATATGGGAATTCAAATGTTCTACTTTTGAAGTGAAATAGATATTGGTTATCTATATTGATCTTGATTCATATGGTTATCTTATTATTGCTACTTTATTGTTTACTTAATATTACCGAGTTCGAGTGGTTCAACGTATGAATGTGTTTTCATACATAGGTAATGAATAGTTGATAAAAGAAAAACCTAAGTCATAAATCACATCAAAAGATTTAAGAGCACATCATTACTTAAAAGTACTTTTTTTCTACCTCATTTAGTAGTGGAATGTACATAGCTCTAATAGTTTCTAAATCATTAATGTCCTTAATAGCATTTGTAACGTCTTGACTAAATTGAATGCTATTATCTTACTGCATGTAAATATGTCTTTAGTATGGTGAAATTTCACGGTGTTGGGTGAAGGAGTAAAAGTGCTCATGGAGGTGTATGATGAGCTTGTCATATGCATACTATGGTTGATTTAGCATTTGTTGAATTGTTTGTTAAGGGAATATGCTTTATTTGCTTTGTAGTATGTCATATTACAGTACTTAGCGAGAAAAACCTAATTACATATCTAAAATATGCAAAAGTGACCAAATTTGAATATAGTTTACCAAGAATGCTAGTTATTGATAGAAATAATGGATTAATGTGAATTTTGTTATACTTGTTGATGATTGATCATAACTTTATGTCTATGCACGGTTCATTGACGTTAAGTTATATTCATTTAATAGTTTATAAGCTCACCAAAATGTCTAACATTGAAAATTTTGCTCAATAATCTCAAAATTGTTTTAAAGAATATGTAACTCATATAAATAGTCCCGAGATCGGATCCTTAATCTCGAAACTAAAAATCATTTGTCAGGGCCTATCTCGAGATCATCTTATAAAGTCTCGAGACCCATATTGTATGTAACATCCTCAATACCGGGTTAGTGATCAAATCGTAAAGTTTCATAATTTGATGACTAAAATAGAAGAATGAAATAGCTCTATGATTATTGGATGCATATGATGAAGGTTATTTTGTAATTGTTAAAGGAAATAAAGGGTAAAATGGTCATTTGATCATTTAAGGAATTATATACACGTGGGAAGAGAGCTATCTGGAAGCTTTCTTCTTCTTGCTTTCTCTTCTTCACGTGGGGCTAGCTTCAAAAGGTAAGTTCTTTGTTTGTAAATGAATTGTTGATTTTAAGGTTGGGTTTTGATTATTAGATGATAACTAAGCTTAAGGAAAGCTTAAATCATCTTAAAAACAAATGATGGAGAGGTTATGAGGGATTAAAGATTTGGAGTTTTTATATGAAACTTTGGAAAAGAATTGATAAGTAGAATTTGAAGTTAAATTTGACTTGTCAATGGTTAAATTAAGAAGTAGGAAGTGTTAGAATTGGAATTAGAACACATTGAAAATTTGGTATGATTTTTGAATCTCATATGGAAGATAGGATTTTGAGGTTTAAGATGAAATAAATGAATATAGATTGGTTTAAGTATGTATACTAGAGTTAAGAATGAAAAGGGGATGATATATGAAGGGTTTGAGTGGAAATGAAGTAATTTTCGGGTTGAAAATATGATTTCTGGGCAAGGGGAATCGGTACCCATTCAAGGGGAACCGATACCCCTTCAAACGACAGAATTCCAGAATGTCTTGAGGGAATCGATACCCCCATGGTAGGGAACCGATTCCCCCTAAAGAAAAATGTTAATATTGGTTTAATAAGTTCGTTTAAGTTGCTAGTATTCAATTACAAGGTGTAGGTATCTAACGATTACCTCGAAATGTACATTTATGTAGATTCTACGCATAAAGAATTCCGGAACGTTTGGCAAGTAAGATTGATCAAGGGGAAAGATAAGAGATTTGAATTGACTAGTGAGGCCAGGTGAGTGCATATTAATTAGTTTATGGTGCTAAATGGAAACAAGACTTGCGACAAGTCTATTTCCTCTGTTAGAATGCATGAATATATGATTATACGTATATGAATGACATGAATTGTATGTATGCATGATTATATGTGTTAACATGCTTTTGAATGTAATGTTATGAGAAGTATGTGCTATGTAATGTATATATATGAACATATGTGAAACTGAACTATGTGACTGCATGATAAAGATATGAGCCATATGACATGATATATGTGAACATGAGAAAACAAAGTATAAGATATGAACTATGTGATCCTATGAGAATATGAAAAGAAGCTATGTGACTACAAGTATATGTTATGAGATAAGATCTATGTGATTACATGCAACATATGATATTAGATATATGTTTACACATACATGTAGTATGTGACAGAAAAGAAGGAACATGTGGTTATGAGATTAATGATTACACGTACATGTGATACGTGACTGAAAAGAAAAGGTATGTGGTTATAAGAGAAAGAATATGAATAAGTAATGTGAACTGTTATAAATGATAATGCCCATGTTATGTGATATGAGAGCTAGGGGTATAGTTGGCATGCCAAGGGTCGAGGGTTTACCTATGTTCTTCGGGACATATGGACTGTTTACCTATGTTCTTCGGGACATATGGACTGTTTACCTATGTTCTTCGGAACATATGGACTGTTTACCTATGTCCTTCGGGACATATGGACTGATTACCTAGGTTCTTCGGAATCTATGGACTGGTCCTTCGGGACATTGATCGAGCTGTGGTGACAGCATATGTGTGCACAACCTCAATGTACTCACATACCTTAAGTTCTCACTAGTGTACATGGGCTAATAAAGTGATTAAACAATCATACTGAATGTGATATGTATACGATGGGTTTATAAGTGGTTTGAAATGTGTTACGTGAACCATATGATGTTGTGTGTGTATAGTGTTTGATTGAAAATGTTAACAATAAAAGTATGTGATTACATGATAAACTGTTAATGATGAATTATGTATCTGTATGTATTTACTGTAATTAATCTGATATGATTTTATATGATACGAAGAATGCATGGAATTGCTATAACATGATAGAAAAGAACATGCATGTATCGATATATGTTTTAAAATGCATTATAAGTCGTTATGCCTCACTAAGTCTTCGACTTAGCGTGTGATTGTTTCACACGTAGGTTTCGAGAAGAGTAAAGAGTGATGCGGAGCAAGACAGGTCAGTTTCCTTACCAAAAGATCAGATCAGAAATATTTGACAAAGTATGTATTTGTTTATGTATAAAGTGTTGGCATGTAATAAGTCATTAAGTACGAGCACTCTGATAAAGTCTGTATTTTGTTCTAAATAAAGTTTTAAATTTCCCGGGATTTTTTCTTAAGAGTCAAGGTTTGAAAAGTCAATGTGACACTTCGGACTCGTATCCGGGTCGGATACGGGTTGGGGGTGTTACATTGTAACATCCGCAATACCGGGTTAGTGACCAAATTGTAAAGTTTCAGAATTTGGTGACTAAAGTATAAGAATGAAATAGTTCAATGATTATTGGATATATATGATGAAGGTTATTTAGTAATTATTAAAGGAAATAAAGGGCAAAAGGGTCAATTGACCAATAAATGAATTAAAAATGGGATTATAAATGCACGTGGAAAGGGAGAGAATTCTCCAGAGTTCTCTCCTCCTTTCTTCTTCTTCTTCACGTAAAAGCCAAGAGCCAAAGGTAAGTTTATTTGTTTATAATTGAATTGTTGATTTTAAGGTTGAGTTTTAATTATTAGATGATAACTAAGCTTAAGGAAAGCTTAAATCATCTTAAAAGCAAAGGATGGTGGAGTTAGGAGAGATTAAAGATTTAGAGTTTACAAATGAAATCTTGGAATAAAGTTCATTTCTTAAATTGGAAGTTAAATTTGACTTGTCAATGGTTAAATTAAGAGATTTGGAGTGATAGAATTGGATTTAGAACATATAAAAAATTTGGTATGATTCTTGAATTACATATGGAATATAGGATTTTGAGGTTTAAGATGAAATAAATGAATATAGATTGGTTTAAGTATGTGTACTAGAGTTAAGAATGAAAAAGGGGATGATATATGAAGTGTTGAGCTGAAAATGAAGTGATTTTCGAGCTAAAAATATGA